TTTTGTACTGGGGATCAAACTTGGGATTTCATGCTTGTGAGGCAGGCGGTGGCACCATTGAGCTAAGTTCCCGGCCTGTATATTTTTTTGAAAGTAGAAATACTAACTTTTTCAGGTAGTTTGCGTCATAAAACTTTAGAGAGGCTGATTTTATTGCTCAACAAAAACCCTTTGTGAGTAATTTCTTAGCACTACCAGCCTTTCTGTTGCCACTGCAGCCTCTAGCACACTTTCCTGTGTCGTTGGACGAGGCTGGATATGTGAGGACACACAAACAGCTTCATGGTTTTCAGTGTAAGAAGAGTGAAGCCGCTACACCTGGGGTAGAAAGGCCCTAGGGTAGAAAGGACAGGTCTCCTGGGCCTTGAGTCTTTCCCAGGGTTTTGTCGCCTGTGGCCTGTCACACACCCATCTGTTTCCTTAGCCTGTGGCTTTCCTTTCCTATGCTCTAATCACTTCTAAGCATGTTTGAAAGGTAACAATCATTTTTAAACAGTTGGAACTATTCCTTAATGTAGAATCTTAATTTGGCAACACTGGCAGCTAGTGAGTAATTTTTTAAAGTACACAATTTACTTCAGAACAGTTTTATAATTACAGAACCACTGCAAAGATAGCAGAGAGGGTTCTGTATATTCCATGCCTAGTTCTGCTTGTTAACATTTTACATTAGTATGGCTCGTTTATCACAATAAATGAACGATCATCATCATCATAAGTGCTAAATAAACATAATGAAAAGTACTTAGTTCAGGGTTCCATAGTTTTGTGTTTTTTTTGTTGTTTTTTTGCTTTGTGTCATTTTTCTGTCCCAGAATCTCATTTTCCTGTCCCATCCAGTCTGTGTTACATTTTGTAGTCAAGGCTCCTCAGGTGCCATTTGGTTGTGATGGATTCTCAGGCCCGCCTTGATTTTGATGACCTTGATGAGAGGAGTAGGCTGTCTCTCAAATGAAATTTGTTTGATATTTTTCTTGTGGTTAGAGTGGAGTGATGTATCTTGGAGGGGTAAAACCACAGAGGTAAAAGTGTCACTCTTATCATACGCATGCATCAGTGTGGTTGTTAATCTGGGTCACCTGACTCGCGATTGTGCTTGAGTTTCTCTACTGCATAGTTTCTCTGGGCGACTCCCCAGCCCTACTACTCCGAGAAGGATGCTCTAACGGGTAGTCCACACTATGCCTCCCGCTTCTGGCAGCAGGTGCATTCCAGGCTTGGTGCTTGACTATCAAAGGGTAGAGAGCGCCACCTGCTGGTGAAACATTGTGTACCTCTTCCACAGATCCAGAGAGCTGAACTGATGCAGAGTGGAAGTCTCCAAGATGCCAAGGTGGATCCAGGCATCTTTAAGTTTGGTTTCTTATGGTCTGGCTAGGACTAGTGAGTAGGAAGGAACTTTAAACACAGGTGGAAGCTGTGCACTATAGCACATGTCTGTAATTCCAGAATTTGGGAGGCTGAGGCAGGAGGATCACTGTGAGTTTGAGGCCGGCTGGGGCTACATAGTGAGTTTAAGGCCAACCTGTATTACATAGTGAGACCCTATCTCACCCCACCTCAGAAAAAGAGAATAGGTGGAGACTTAAATTTCTTTATAAATTCTTTACATGTATCTGAAGTGAAGAGAGATTTTTTTTGATTTTTTGAGACAGGGTCTCACTATGTAGTTGAGACTGACCTGGAACTCACTATGTAACCCAGGCTGGTCTCGAAATCACAGCAGTCCTCCTGCCTCAGCCTCCCGAGTGCTGGGATTACAGGCATGTGCCATCACGCCCAGCTTATCAGTCTTTTTATTTTAGCCATCCTCCTGGGTGTGGTTTCTCATTATTTTGATTTTCATTTCCTTGATGGATTATGATTTTGAGGGTCTTTTCCTGTGTTCTTTGGACATTAGTATGCCTTTCTTTGAGAACTATCTATAATTAGAGCCTTTAAAAATTGGATTGTCTTTTTATTATTATTTTTTTAGAGGAACTTTAGAATGTTTTTGAATCATTTGTGGAATTTGGGAGCGTGGTGGTAGGTTTGTGTTGCCATCCTAAGTCAGCTGTGTTGAACTGTTTGAGAATTACTGAGCTGTCTGGTGATACTGCTTAGGTTACAAATGTGGAAATAAACTCTCCCCTCTCCTTGGAAGCCCTGTGAAGTTGGGGGTCTTCAGCCTGGCTGACTGTGGCTGCGAGGAGGTACTGTGAGGTTATTTGGTTTGCCTTTTCCTGGGGGCTGTCATTGGCCTGCCTTGGTCTCCAGTCTTTGTGGCTCTGGACTCGACATCTTTTGGGGCTCTCCTGGAGAAACTCAACCCCCAGAGGTGGTTCCTAGAACCCCCGTCCCTTTTCCTGAATATAACCACAAGATGGTTGACATTGGTGAACTTTTCTCTCAATTCAGTCTTTTACTTTGTCTTAACAGATTCTGGCCTACTGAGCAGACCCCCCACCCCGTTGGCAGTACTCAGGATCAAACCCAGGCCTTGCCTGTGTCCCGCCACCGAGCTGCATCTCCAGCTGCTGACAGCGCCCTTTCATGCTCTGTGCGGCTATGATAGATTTTTTTCTTTGTTTTTATCAGTACATGTTTGTGATACATTGAGTCTGTACATTGTGGGGAGTTGGCAATACACATATGGCATTTAAATCCTTTTTACTTTCCCTTCTTCTCTCCTTCCTCTCTAGAATTTTAAAAGCAGAAAGAAATAGCCCTGTTCTTCAGATGCCACCTTAGAACTAGAAGTGTGTGGAATGTTTCGTCATCCTGTAAAGTGTAATAGTTGGAGCACCCAGAAACTCTTTGTTGTGACTGTTTTCCCCTCAGTGTTGCTTTTAAACTTTATTGAGGAATAATTGATATTTTAAAATTCTATACAGATTTAATGCACACAGTCTAATTAGTGAGTGTACACTTGTGATGGCACCACATCAAGGCAATAAGCATATGCGTCACCTTCAAGTTTCCTTGTGTGCCTTGACCTGTGCGTGTGCTAAGAACAGTGTGAGATCTATCTCTTAGACATTGAAGGGCTTGGCGCACTGTTCATTGTAGGCACCGTTGTTTACAGCAGGTATCTCGAACTTGTTCACCTTGTGTGACAGTAACTCTATTGGTGGAACGACAGCACCCCGCTTCCCCTTACCTCCTGTGCCCCACAATCAGCATTTTGTTGTTTTCATCTGTATTTGGTCGGTGATTTTTAACACTGCTTCGTTTTCTAGAGCATGGCTGGTTACACAACAGGTATCTCATGAGTAGCTGGGCGTTCATAGATTTGAAAGATGAAGCAAATCTGTGAAACATTTTAGTGTTTCACTTCACCTACAAGTTTAATGCGTGCTTCACTTTTTGTGAAGGAAGTCTTGCAAGAAGGATATGTTTGTGTTCACTGTGCACCTGGTTTTCTTCTGGATAGCAGTAAACTCTCACATGAATTAATGAGAAGAAACTTCGTAATGTAACAAGTATTTGTCTCAATATGAGATAACTAAAACTTCATTTTCTAGTTGGTTCCTTCTTCTTTTTAGTGTTAAATATGCATAGGTTTAGCTTACCCTGTAGATAAGTTATAAGTAGTGAAATACTGGTTGAACTTTCAAATGCTGTGAATTGAACCAGACATCATGATGATGATGATGATGATGATTTGAGAATTGAACTCAGGATCTCAGGCATGCAGGGCAAGTGCTGTACTACTGAGCTTTAAATTTTTGTTGTTGTTGTTGTTGTTGTTGTTTTGAGCATGCACCTCCTTGCCCTGTGTTAAGATTTGGGTCTAGATGGTCCCCCTAACCCCTGCCAAAGCCCCGATGGTCACAGGTGGCTTTTTCAGAGGTGGCTGAATCTAGAGTGTGTGATGCTGGGGTTAAGGGTGTGTGATTACTAAACCAGTACATGTGAGTGATTGGTTTGCCTCCACTCTAATCCTAGTAG